AGAGTCCCAGAGACAGTGGGGACATGCATATGGCAGGTCCCTGAGTGCGTGCCCAGCCCAGAAGCCAACTTCACGCCAAGGAGCCAGAGCAATGCTTTAACTGTCTCTCTGACTTCAACCCCGTGGCCTTTCCAAACCCTTCTTCACCAGCTACCTGCAGTTCAGGACAGCCTGTGGCCCAAGGTAGGTATCAGGCCAGCTGAGCTCACAGCCACCTCCCCAGTGTTCTCAGCACCCTCCCTGTCCAACTAACCCACCACAGGTTCCATTTACCTTCAGGACAGCTTGGCTGTGGGGCAGCAGATGCCAGGAGAAGGCGAGGTGAGAGGAGCTCAGGTGGCTTCTTCAGGGATCTTCACCTTCCCCAGGGCAGTGAGGAACAGCTCTGTCCAGCTGTGGGGAGGTTCACAGCTCTAAGATCTGGGGTACTCATAAAATCAAAGCACCCAGCATGAGTCTGGGGACCTTAAAGCTCATCCAGTTCCAACCCCCTGCCATGGGCAGGGACACCTTCCACTAGAGCAGGTTGCTCCAAGCCCCATCCAAGCTGGCCTTGAACACTACCAGGGATGGGGCAGCCGCAGCTTCTCTGGGGCAAATGGCAACCTGTGCCAGGGCCTCACCACCCTCACAGGGAAGAACTTCTTCCTTATATATAACCTAAATCTCCCCTGCTTGAACCCATTCCCCCTTGTCCTGTCACTACAGTCCCTGATGAAGAGTCCCTTTCTAGCATTCTTGTAGGCCCCCTTCAGATTCTGGAAGCTGCTATGAGGTCTTTATGCAGCTTCTCTTCTCCAGGCTCAATCCTTCCGCCAACAGGCAGAGGAGGCTTCCAGTGAAAGCAGGGAGCAGAGATGTCTGCTTTGTGTGAGAAGAGCAGGAAGGCAAACGCAGGAGGATTCAGGAGAGGTGCTAGTCTGATTGTACCCAAGTGACACAGATGCCTGGACAGATGGGCAGGAGCAAAGAACAGACTGACGTGTCTCCAAAATATGTGTACCAGATACAACTAGACTGAATTCCTTTCCAGAATTTTCCTGCGTTTGTCTTCCTACGGTTCTCCATGAAGATAAGAGTGTGGTCAAAGCCCCTGCCATGCTTTGTGCTTGCTAGGGCCAAGTGGGAGGTGGGAAGCTGGGCTCCCATTCACCAGCTTCCCACTGCTTGTGCATGTATAGGCCATTGTGAAAACATCACGCGAGGGCGTCAGAAGTGCTCCAGAAATAGAGCAGAATATAAAAGCACACAAGATTGCCCATGAGTCAACAGCACAGTGCTGCAACGGAGAATGTAAAGCTGGCAGGTTCAAGGAAATGATTATCCTCTTGACTTTGTACCTGTGAGACACAACTGGGTACTAGCTCTAATCTGGGGCTCCCCAGAAGAAGATGGATCTACCATCTACATTTACATCTACATCAACATCTACATCTACATCTACATCAGGGTCTGCAGTGATCAGAGCAATGGGTTTAAACTTAAACAGGGGCTCTGCCATGGGCAGGGATACCTCACCTAGACCATGTATGAGCCACCCAAGGCTCTGTCCAACCTGGCCTTGAGCACTGCCAGGGATGGGGCACTTACCACTTCTCTGGGCAACCTGTGCTAGTGCCTCACCATCCGTGCAGTAAAGAACTTCTTCCTTATATCTAACCTGAACTTCCCCCAGCTCTGGGATGGTGAGGTGGTGACACCTCTATACTCAGGAACTTTCCAAACCCAATGGGACAGGGCTCTGAGATACCCGGTGTAGTTTTGCCACCACCCCTGTATGGAGCCAGGGCTGGACCACAGACCTCCTGAGCCCCTTCCAGCCTAGAATCTACCTGATGCTCTAACATGCTTTGTGCAGTGGTGAGGTGGTTGATTAGAAGATGACTGCGCAATGCTGTTGCTTAGCTGACCTGGGACATGGAAAACACCAACCCGTCACCCACAGCTTGACTCTTCCATCTAGCTGATGCCCCTGATACCAGAACTGCCTTACATCTCCTGCTGACTTCAGAAGTTCTGATACCATGGAGAAACCGGAGGAGATGAGCACTGGAGAAAGTAAGTCACTGTGGAAAAACTCTGCAGGTTTAATGGGAGGCTTTAAGGAGAAGCCTGCATGCAAAATGACAGGTCTGCAATAGCCAGGGATGGGGTTGCTTATAGTAACACTCAGAGGGTTGCATGTTCTGGGTTACATGAGAAGCAGCTCCTTTGGTTATGCTTTACTCTGTTCTAGAGGAGAAGAGGTTTGGGCACATATGTTCGTGGTTTGGCGTGGTTCTTGTGTTTTTCCACTGAAGCAGTTGAGTATTTTTAGGCTGAAAGAGATGGCTCTGTGCTATGCTAGGATCAGCATGAAGGATCTGTGCTATGAAGGATCAGAGCAGCCCTGTGCAGGCATGATGCTGCTGCTGTCTCTCCCCATTAAAGTGAAATACAGAGAGTGGAGTATGAGAGTGAAATCTGACAGAACACCTATGGGGAAAGGTGTAGTAGGAGCCACCATCGTTGGCCACAACAGGGGTGGGATTGAGGGTGGGAAGAGGGGACTCCAAGGTGCTGGCTGGTGGCCTGCACATACATTAGCTGCTGGGCTCAGACAACTGTGTTGGACAGCATCAACCAGCACCACTGTTTCCTGAAGCTGAGATGTCTACTTTTCCTCCACTGGGGGGCTGAATGCCAGAAACCCATCACTTTCAGGAAAACAACCTGGTCCACGCAACCTGGTGCACTGGTAAGGCAATCGTCTTTGTAGGGAACACTGGCACTGAGGTCCAGCACACAGAGCACAGCTTGGCCAGCATTGCTGGTCAGTGGGATGCAAGGTAGCAGCTTCCAGAGGGACCAGTGCAAAGCTCTGAGGGCTATGAGCTGTGCAGAGACCCTGCCAAGAAGGACCTGCGCGTGATGGTAGGTGCCAGGTTGAATACAAACCACACATCTACCTTGTGAATCAAGTCTTGAGAAGTGGAGCCAGCAGACTGAAGGAAGAGCAGTGCCAGCACATACCAATGCAGGATAGTTCCTGTGATCCAGAATGCCCTGAAACAGACCCATTTGAACCACATCTTTGGCAAAGAGAGAGGAAGCATGGACATGGGAAGATGTGGGCTCCCAGCACTCTGGTGCTGTGTACGACTCCAGAGTTGTTGTGCCCTGCTGGCCTCTTGCTGGCTGCTCCCCACAGCCTGGCCTAATGACAGCTACAGGCAAGCTTCTCTTTGGAAAGAATTTCACATTTTCCACAGACATCCTCAAAACTAGGAAACCCAGTTAGGCGCAGTGAGTCTGAGAGGGGGCTGTGGCCTTGGGTGGAGAGGAACAGAGGGAAAACCCAACCAGAAGCTGCAGCAACCAGGACATTGCAGAGGTTCCCAGACAGCAGAGAGACCAGACCACGATGTCTGCTCCAACTCTTGATTTATTGAACATTACAAAATACTCTGCATATATTTTCACATTAAAACAATATTCTTGCAAATAAGAGATTAAGTCTTGAGTCATTCATGGTGCTCATGGCTACAGAAAACACTGACCCAGCTAGGGATTTAGTATGGCCCAATTATCAGCAATCAAAATGAGAATAAGGCATACCAGAAATGCAAAACTATATAAAAACCTTTTAAAAACTTCATGCTCATCCAGCGGAACAGGTACCAAGCACAATAATGGCCTTTGTTGAGCCTTGCTGACAGCACCAGGGGGTACCACCAGCTCGCCTGCTCCACACTGGGCTCACTCACCCAGTACATCCAAGTATCCCCTTGTCACCTGCTGTCCCAGCACACCCCTGTAGCTGGAACAGGCAGTTATTTACCTGCTCTGGGGCATTACCAGCCCAAATCCCCATTCTTCCTTCAGAGGAGCTAATGCCCAGCTGCTGTGCTGAGCTTTTGTATGCAGAGCAGCTTTTGGGGAGCAATTCTTGGTCTTCAGGGTGACACTAAGGCTGTTGCCACTGGGTCCCACCAGCCTCTCAGGAGGCCCCAGGGGTGGCTCGGGGGTAGTGGGGACAGACCTTTGGAGATGCACTCAGTTCTCACCTATCACCCCTGTTCCTGATGTACATTCATACCTGCTGCTGCCTCACTCCTTGCCCTACGACCAGCCCTCCTATTTGATGGGCCCCAGGCAACTGGAGGGTCTGGGATGCAGGCAGGATGAATGCCAAGGATGCTGTGCAGGCAGCTGTCCCCTAGCAAAGTCTGAAAGCTGAACACGGCAGCTTTGGGAACACATCCAGGCCACAGGTGTGAGGCTGGCACAGCAGGTTGGCTGCTAGAGGAGTCCCTGTGCGTACAGGTTTACTAGTCCAGCTTCCTGTGAAGCCAGAGCCCAGGAGCGCTGCTCCCAGTCCTGAGAAGGTCATGGCCTTGCCTCTGTGGTACCTCCATAAACCAGCAACGCAGAGCTGCCGTGGCAAGAAGCCCATCTCTGGCCTTCTGGGTGGTTCCTGTGAGGAACCAGCACTATAGCCACCATAAAGTCAACAGCTCATCACTTGGTGTGGATGGGCTCCCATGCACTGGTGCCACTCCCAGTGCTCTCCCCAGAGGTCTACTCACAGGCAGGTTGGAGATCAGCTCCACCATGCTCCTGCACCCATAAGCAGCCACAACCTATTAACCAGCACCCATACACCCCAGGGCAGCACAGCCATGACAGGATGGAGTCCAGTTGGGATCCCAACCCTGGGAGGAACATCTCTGCCCTCCCAGCTGCACAGATATGTAGGAAGCAGAGAGGAAGAATGAGGTTTGGGGTCTGGGTGGATGGAAGCTGGTACCTGCTGTTGCAGCAGAAATCCCAGTTACCGACCAGTTTGTGTCAGTAGGTGCATGGGCAAAGCCCACCCTGGAGTGCAGCTCTGGGAGGAGTAGTGGGTTCTCCTGCCACTCCTGGAGTTTATGGAAACTCACAAGCTTTACAATGCAAGACAGCAGAGTGGTCACAGCCCACTCATGGCCCCCAGCCCCTTCCCTGTCCGCAGTGTGCCCTCACAGGTGGCTCGCTCTGTTGAACATGAGCCACCTGGGCTCCGCGGTGGGCAGCACCCTGCCCTGCTCCTCCATGGCCATCAAAGGCTGCAGCTCCTGCTGCTCAGCGCCATCAGGGCTGCTGTCACTCTGTGACCGCCCATTCTTGGAAGCATGGCTGGGGAACTGGAAGCAGGAGCTCTGCTCCGTCATGGCCTGGCTTGCAGACTGGGGTTGCTCCTCCGGCACAGGGCAAGCGAACCACCTGTGCTGAGGTCCACTCTCAATGCCTGGCGGGGAAGCAATGCTCTCCAGGGAGGAGATGCTTTGGTTCCACGCCTTCTGCATATCCACTGGCACGATTTTGGTGGTCTCCGAGGAGATGTAAACAGCCAGATCAGCCTGGTCTCCTTTCCATGGCAGCTCCTTCTCTGCCAAGGTGGGCGAAGGTGGGATGATACAGGGGCTGGGGCAGACATCCAGGCTGTCTGGGGATGCAGAAAGAGTGACAGTGAGATTTTGCACAGCTGGTATTTTCTCCTCGGGCCCTGCAAACATTGCAGAACCAACCACTATCAAATGGCCAGCTGGTCCAGGCACGCAGGAGCCACCAGGGAGGCTCTGCCATGCTTCCAGAGCCACAGAGAATAGGGATTCTCCCATTCATGCTCTGCTGACTTTGGGTTTGCCCAGGCCAAAGCAATTTAGTGCCCCAGGAAGGACAAGTTACTTTAACAGCAGCTGCCCTGGCATGGGAGCACCAGTGCCTACCAGAAGCTCTCAGCACCTCAGCAGTGCCTCGAGCAATGAACACAATCCCCTCGTCATCCTCTCTCTCCGTCTCTGAGCTATCACTCTCCTCCTCCTCTGAGCTGACCATCACCAGGACAGGAGCTGCAGCCAGATGGAGGGAGTTGCTTTGGAGGTTGGGGAACCCTGTGGGGGAAGGACTGCACCCATGGGAGAAGGACTTGGTGATAATACAACCCCTAGTGCTGTTGTGCCACCATGCTGGCAGTAGGCAGGCACAGGGGGCTGCTCTCATCCCATCCCATCCCATCCCATCCCATTCCACCAGGTACCCATGCAGGACTTGCAAACCTTGCCTGCCACTGGCCTCACCAGCATCCTGCCAGGGGATGTTTCTGTGCATCTTATCATTGGGAGCCTCTCTGGTCACAGAGATGTTCTTCTGTGAAGGAAGAGGGACTATTTGGGGCCTGCCCCGCACAAACCCCGCAAGACAGGGTAACATTGAGGACCCAGCTTCCCACCCCAGCCAGATTCCTAGCCCTTAGGCATTAAATCTTCATAGCCTACAACAAACAGCTCAGATGCAATGGCTTCAAAACATCTCAATGAGAGAAGATACCTAAGCCTCAGTTTAAGCCACAGGGCCTGGATCTGCAATGATGTTCAGGCTACTTTACACTGAGTGCTCTTGGAAAACAAATTTGAGGCTTCCTCAGGGCTTGGGACTGCTTTGCTCAGAGAAAAGCCACCCCACAGCAGTGCTGGCATGGTGAGGACACATGGACATGCAACACCCATGTGCTCACACACAGCATATGACAGGCTGAGAGAGTTGGGCTTGTTCAGCCTGGAGAAGAGAAGGATCCAGGGACAACTCATAGCAGCTCCCAGTGCCTAAAGGGACTACAAGAAACCTGGAGAGGGGCTTTGGATAGGGGCCTGTTGGGACAGGACAAGGGGAATGGCTTTAACCTGACAGAGGGGAGGCTGAGACGAGATCTTGGGAAGAAGTTCTTCCCTGTGAGGGTGCTGAGGCCCTGGCACAGGTTGCCCAGAGAAGCTGTGGCTGCCCCATCCCTGGCAGTGTTCAAGGCCAGCTTGGATGGGGCTTGGAGCAACCTGCTCTAGTGTAAGGTATCCCTGCCCATGGCAGGGGGTTAGAAATAGGTGAGCTTTAAGTTCCCTTCCAACCCAAACCAGGCTGTGATTCTATGATATGCAGGACTGAGATGAGATGAGCAGTTTTCCCCACTGTCTCTGCAGCTGCTGATGCCATTCAGCACCTCACTTACACCCCACTGTCTGCATCCTGGGGGAGGCCAAATCTCAGAGCTAGGAAACGAGCAGGAGGCTGGGGAGTGCTTGCCTTTTTTCTGCCCTTCTCCTTCAGCCTGGCCTTACTCTTGGAGGAGCAGATGTTGTGCTTTGTGGACTTGAAAGTCTCCAGCCGCCTCTTCATGTTCTGCCGGAAGATTTCTTTGTCTTGGCGCTCTTGTTTATCTGGAGAGATGAAGTGACGGCTGTAGCTGGCCTTGTAGGAGAGGCAAAGAGACACAGGGTGAGCAGCTGGCCCCACAGAGCATCCTACATCCCTGCTCCTCTTGTGAGTGCTGCTACCCTCAGGGTCAGCTGCACGCCATGGCCAGGGAGTGCTCACCCGCCGGCGTGGCTTGTAGAGGCTCCCTCGCAGCACATGGTGCATGGCAGCATCCTCCTTGTCCCGCCGGCTCCGCACTGTGTCGATCACCTGCAAGTCCAGGCATGCGCCGCTCCCACTCTCCCTCCTGGGGAGAGATGGACATGGAGGGAGATGGAGATAGAGATGGAGTTGGCGGGACCGGGCTGCCTGCCCTCATCCTGCCAGGCCGCTGCCAGCCCAGGGGTTTGGGGGGATGCTTGTACTCACAAGAGGTTTGTGACTGATGACTCTGAAATGGACGTGCGGCTGGGCATTGAGGGCAGTGCCAGCTTGGCAGCAGAGAACACATGTCCACCCTGGGAGATGGGAGGGCAAGGCTGGCATCAGGGCAGCAAGGACCCACTTGGCTGGGGAGTTTCCCACTGCCTCGCCAGCAGGTACATGTGTGGCCACACATGGTGGGGCCACCACCCCAGGCAACCAGCTCCTCTTGGGGCCATCCCACCACCCAATCCCCACCATATGTCCTTACCTGGTCAACGAAGCTGATAGCATCACGGATGTTCAGCTTGTAGTAAACGTCCCAGATCTCATCCCTCAGCCTGTAGGCAGATTTCCGCATCAGGATCTGGCTCAGGTACTTCTTGTCAAACTGTTCCCACCTGCCATAAGATGAAGACATGGGTGTTTAGCACCATCCAAGGTTGAGTGTCCAAAGCATGCCGAAAGCAGGCTGGGCAATAGGACGTGGCTGTGCCCAGGGACACACTGTCAGAGAGAGCAGGAGCACAAGGAACATGCTGAGGCTTCACCCCTGCCCAAGGGGAAGCCAGAGACCAGTGGGTCTGTGGGACTGGGACTGGGGTCAACGGCTGCCCAGTTGGAGCACTTCCCCTCCAGGAAACAGGCTTTTTTCATCCTGTTCCTGTCGATGTGCTGCAGATAAACACTGCCCAGGCCTTAGCAGGACCAGTCCCTCCTCAGCACCCAGCTCTCCACCCATGGAGAGGCACTGGGCCATCGCCCCATGCCCCATCCCTGGCAATGCTCAAGGCCAGGTTGGACGGGGCTTGGAGCAACCTGGTCTAGTGGGAGGTGTTCCATGGCAGCTTTAAAGTCTCTTCCAATGCAAACCATTCTATGATTGCCACTGCCACGGGCACCCCAAAGGCCCCAGGTAGCTCCAGCACAGGCAAGCAATGCCAGCTCCTGCAGCATCCCCAACCCCACCTGCCTGACCTCTCTCTGGGGTGCTTTAGGTACTCCAGTCTGCTGCATAATAGCAGGCACATGGTCCCTTTCCAGATGGACTGATGGATGGACATACAGCCTTCTTGGTCCTACTGCCCTGCCCAAAGCAGGGCTGTCCTTCATCAGGGACCCTGCGATGTCCCCATGGCTGGCATTATGTCCCCCTTGCACCTGATGGCTGGCAGAGGATCCTGGCTAAGACCCTCACTTGTCCCGCCAGTAGTGGTAGCCATGGTGCCCCACAATGTCCTCCACTGCTGCCAAGATGTGGTCAAAGGCCTTGAGTGAGGAGAAAAGGGTGAGAGCAGTGACAAGACTGCGGGTGCCCCAGGGGTGCTGAGGCAGCGCAGGGAGCTGGGCAGTCTCCAGCACCAGCACCTACATGCTCATGCAGCTCCTCATTCAGCGTGGGCTTGTGGTGATCACTGCGCTTCACTTTCAGCCATGTCACCAGGGGTTTGATGGTGAGGCCCTGGAATGTAGGAAAAGGCAAGGGAAAGACTAGGAGGGTGAGAGGGTGAGTGGCTGGGGCAAGGGGAGCAGAAGTAGCAAGAAGTCCCTAAACCATGTCACTAGGGGACATGGTTTAGTGGTGGACTTGGAAGTCCTGGGGTAAAGGCTGGACTTTATGATCTTAAAGGTCTGTTCCAACCCACCTGCTTCTATGATTCTATGAAGTTACTGGGGACAGCAGCTATGCCAGCAGCGCATACCCCTACCAACCCGACCTTCTGTGCCTGGAACCTGGGCGATGCTTCCATGTCCAAGGCAGCGACCATGTTATACCCCTTCAAGTCCCCCTTCCTGTAGGATCGCATCCATCCTCCCTCCGTCTCCCCTTCCTGGGGTGCATGGACTGCAGAGTCAGGGTCCATCAGCAGCTTTGTAAAGAGAACATTCTCAACACACTGGTGCTGCTGTTGGAGCCAGTCCCAGAACAAGATGCCAATGGGGAAACAATGTGCGCCATGGCACTACCATTGCAACAGTCACCACTGTGGTCCTGCACACCAGCATCGTGATGGATGAAGTGCCAGGAGGCACCAAGAACCAAAGGTCACTTGAAAAGAAGTACTTGCTCCAAGCACATGTCCCCAAGCACCCACCTGGCCCCCCCAGGCCAGCGCTGGGGCAAGAAGGCAGCACTGGAGAAGGTCACAGTGCCCTTCCTCACCTGCACAATGACAGTGAAGAACACCACCACGATGGTCGTTGCCACAAAGTAGTCCTTGGCTTTCACCTTTGTCCTGTCCAGCAAGATGACCAGGGCAAAGGCCACGGCCCCTCGGAGGCCACCATATGACATGACCACTTGATCAATCCTGTCCAGAGGGATGAGGCGGAAGCGGTTGAGCACACAGGTCTGCAGGACAACACCTAGGGAAGAAGGAGAAGGAGAGCCTGGGACGCCAGCAGGGATGCTGGGATGCTCCTGGAGACGGAGCAAACCCCAGCCAGGAGCCGTGGCTGGCCTCATGCCCCAGCATTTTTTGGGGGATGCCACCTTTTGGTATGAAAAGAGTTGGGTGCTACTGGACAGAAGCATCAATGGGCAGACTGACCCACAGCTCTGAAGAGCAGGATAAAGAACAGGGTGCCCAGCACCAGTGCTGTGTCCCATGCCCATTTGGAGGTGTCCACAGCTGAGATGCCCAGAAACATGAAGATGATGGTCTCTGAGCTGCTGGCCAGTGTCTTCATGGTGTACTTGACTGTGGTGCGGGACTTCTGGGAGATGTTGGCTTCCACATACTTCTTGCAGCAGATCCCACAGAAGGTGACTCTGCAGAGAGGCAGAAGGAGCTGGCATGACCTTGTGGTGGGATGAGGAGTGGGTCTGCTCACCACCTCTTGCTGCTCAGCTCTGCACCCCTGATTTCCTGGACCCCCCCTCCATGGGATACCCCAGAACTCACGCCAGGATGGAGGAGAGTGAGACCATCTCAGCAGCAAGGTACGCAACGTAGGCCAGGAGGAAAACAAAGAGTGGCTCGATGATGCGCACGCGCTTGGTGAACCGTGTGATCAGGGCCAGGAGGAAGGCAAAGAGCAGCCCCACGGCCATGCCCCCCAGGCTCACCAGGAAGAAGGAAGCTGGTGGGGAGAGAAGACTCATCTGCACCATAAGCAATCAAGCCCAGCTCCTGTGTCCCCATGACCATACCATGCTAGGCTGGCCTTTGTGCTCCCACCCGGGTCCCTACCAACGTATTCCATGATCACAGTCAGGATGAGTAGACAAGGCCCTCAGTGACATGGTTCAGTGGTGGCCTTGGCAGTGCTGGGGAATGGTTGGACTTGATGACCTTGAAGGTTTTTTCCAACCTGGTTGATTTTATGATTATGATTCTATTATTCTGATTATGTGACCACTGAGATGGAGACGACAGAGTTGTGGTGCTCACTGCCACAGAGTAGACCAGCACCTGTGCTTTCCCACAGCACTACCATGCTGGAGAAAAAGGTGGAGGGGCTGGTGGGGCACATACTCACCTATCCCCTTCACGTAGTCTGTGGCATGGACGTGCGCTGCACCCAACTCCACAAAAGAGTTGAAGACCTTGTACAGCACCTGCAGGCAAGGCAAATCCCTTGGGGAAGGCAAGGTATTGTCCTGCCTTGAGAGGGACAGCACCCACAGACAGGATGTACCCTGCAGTAGGGGCATCACCCACCCCAAATCTGCCAGGTAACAGCTCATCTCAACAGACAAGGTCCCATAGGGCCAGAAGAGAGGAAAGACCAAGACAGCATGGGGCTGCCCCTAGCGTGGGGATGTCACCTGCATCCTCTGCCTATCCTGGGGGCCTCCAGTGCCCTGGCCCACACCTGGCTCCACATTAGGGTCCTCCAAGCTCCAACTCACCACGGTGACAGCATCATTCAGGAGAGACTCGCCAAACACGATGATGAAGAGGGTCTCATTTACATGGACCTCTTCAAAGACAGCCAGCACTGCCACGGGGTCCACAGCTGAGATGAGGCTGCCGAAGAGCAGGAAATCCATCAGCCCAGCTTCAACACCTGGATCTGCTAGGACAGAAGGGCAAAGCTCAGGCAGACCATCTGCCTCAGAGCTCCTCTCACCAGCCTGAAACAAGCCAATCCCTCATCTGCTCCTTGTCATTTGGCTGCAGCATCCCACCTTGGGATGTGGTGGGCTGAGCCTGGGAGTGCTCCCAGATCCCTGCGGTCTCCCAAGCAAAGTGGGGCTCAGCACATGCTTGCTGCAACATGAGAGCAGCAGGGTTTGGATGTGCCCCTTGCACCCAGGTGCGTCACTGCCCCTCCAGCAGGTATGGGCCAAAGGAGGCTTAGCAGCCCCACCTCAGGTCCAGGCATCAAGCAGTTCCTCGGGACTCAGGAGAGCTCAAACACAGCCCAGGCCAGCGAGGGCCAGTGGCTCCAGCCAAGGACAGGGAGCACAGCAGTGAGCCAGCAGAGCTAGTCAAGGTCTGGGACAAAAATAGCAAAGGCATGAGTCACCCAGTGCCAAGCTGGACCCATTTGCTCTGCATGCTTGACGGTCCTGCCAGAGCACTGTTCCCAGGATGCCAGGACCCTGCTCCTGCTGTAATTCCTGAGAGTCCATGGCAGGTTAGGGCAGTGGGCTCTGAACTTGGGTGTGCTTTGCACCTTCAACCCATCTTTCGGGCTGGCTGATGGGGATGGTTGGTTGGGTTGGGGACGTGGTCTAAGCTGAACAGCCTTGTGCACACACCCATGAGCCCGGCCCGGTGCAGCCCCCAGAGCGCAGTGCCGGTGGTGAAGGAGTTCCAGAGTGTGCCCACCACTGCGTAGGTGAGGATGGCACCGATGTTGTCAAAGAACAGCCGGCTGGGCATGAAGTAGCCCGAGTCTAGCACGATGGGGGGCAGAAGGAAGAGGAAGAACATGTTGGGCTCCAGCTGGTACTCAGCTTTCTTCGCCACGGCCAACACAATGCCCCCCAGGCCCAGCCCCAGCAGGATGAGGAGGCAGCTCTCTGGGACGATGGATGTCACCTTCCTTGACAGGTGGAAAACTAGAAGGAAAGGAGGAATGAGAGCATCAGCCAAACAGACAGAGCTCAGATCCACAAGCTCCACAGAAGGCTTGGCTGGCACATGACAAATCCCAGGGAGGTCAAGGGAGCAATTAAGGCTGCTTTGTGGCCATGTGTGAGTAGACCTTTCAGCTAGCTCCCAGGTCAGGATTTCAGGTCCCTGACCTTTTGGGATCTCCCTTTCCTCCTCAGCCAATGCCTATCAAGCCAAGCAGCCAGGCATTTTGCTTTGCTCGGCCTCTGGTATCTGCCCTTAAAGGATCAAAGCAGCTAGTGAGCATGTTAACAGTGTCACAAGCAATGCTGGCTGCCATCTGAGACATTCTGGTTCACCCGGACACGTTATCCCACTCAGAGATGAGGATGCTCAGCCCTGGTGACGGGGTGACCTTGTTTGCAGGCGTCTGAGCAAGCAGAGGGAGCAGCATGCAAACCACTGCAGCATGAGGCAGTCTCCACGCCTTCAGCACCAGCTAACCTACCTGCATGCAAAAATCAGCCACACAGGAGCTGTAGATCTAGAGACCAGTTTATTCCCTGCAGGGTTTGGACCAAATCTTAAGCTGCCGTGGATCAGGATATATTTTTAAAGCCTGCAGGCCATGTCCTGATATTCATCCATCAGCAATGTAGCAGTGAGCCTGCAGGTCAGGCACAAGCCAGCAAGACGTCACACCAGACAGCACGGGGCACTCATTCCTCCAGGCAGCCTTGTACCCAAGGCCAGGACATTCTGTGTAATCGCAAATCATTCCAGCTTTCAGGTGGGCAAGCCCTGATCCCTGAGGATTTCTCCTCCCTAGTATAGGGTGCTGTATTCTTGGTATCCCTCAAAGGGCAGTGCTTGGGGCAAGGCTATTGAGGGTCACAGTGGTTTTGCCCCCCTCATTGTTGAGTTCTGCCATTCATCCAGCCCACCTCTCTAGGATGACTTGGCCATCAGATGAAGAAACGTCCTCCTGGGCATTGGGTTCCAGAGCCACCTCTGTCCTTGAGCAGGTACAAGGGACAACACAGCAGCCTCTGAGCCATCACTTGGCTGCAAGCCCAGCCCTGCTGCCAACGCAATACCCAGTCCCTAAAGCCCTTTAGCTGGGTTAGAGGTGCCCATTGCTTGTGCCAAGTCATCCTGCCAGAAGGAAAGCTGTGCCGTGGTCATACACCAACTCCAGGTCACTTGGTTTCTTCCCTCCTTCCCCCATGGACACACCACAAGTTCTGAGTAGCCCAGGGTCCTGTCTCCAGTGCTGTAGACCTGGAGAGGAGCCCAGGAACAGGCAGCACTTTATCAGCAGGTTTTCATGCCCTTGACTTTTCTCTTTGAACCTGTCCCAGCTCTGCTCTATCCTTTCTGGGACAGGTCCCAGAGTCCCTGAGATGCAGACACCCTGGGAACTAAGGCCATGGCCTCTTGTTCTTCCTTTATCCTTCCCTAACACCCCTTAGTTGATTTGCTTTCCTTTGCTGCAGCTGAGCACTGAATTAGAGGAGATAATTCAACCTCAGAGATACGGTTCTTAACCAGAGACAACATCGTAGAGCTCACCACCAAGCTTGGAGGCTGAGGGCTGTTTTTCCTCCTTCTCAGTGACCAGCACTGCTCCTTGGCATGGCGAGCTATGTCCCTGTCATTCTGATGATCTCAAGCACTGCTTCCCTGGCATAACACACTGGGAACACTGGCACAGCCATGAGCAGAGGGGCAAGCACCTCAAGAGGAAAGAGCTGCAGAGCACCCATGGCCAAGCCTCTGCCATGGCTCTGTGGCTTGGCTGCAGAGCCTGGGGCATCCCCCTTGCCCCCAGCTGCCTCCACTTGATCCAGCCATGCAGGCAGGAGCAATATGGACACTACAGCCTTCCCAGCAAACCCACAGCCTGGAGAAGGGCTGGCTGAGCTCCCACTGCCAGCAGAATTCCTCCTGAATGACCACATAAGCCATGGCAGAGCCCTGCTCACCCCATGCAAGCCCGGCAAAGGCAGTGCTGGTGGGTGCATGGTGCCTGCAGCACACTGCGAAATCACTTCCCACCCACGGGAACACAGCTCCCAAGTCTTCCAGAAAGGAACGTAGCATCCAGCCTCTTTCTGCACGCTTAGGAGCATTGCCAAGATCCCTGCTCTGGCAACCCATCTGTACTTCCCGTGCTGTGAAGATATGCCCTGCCTGGCTGGAGAGACCCAGGAGAGCTCGCAGAGATGCTATGGGGACATGGCTTCTGGCTGTCATCCATCATTCCTTCCCCCCAGCCAAAAACTTGGGCAAAGAAGGGAGCAGCATCAATGGGAAAGACCCTGCTTGTTCAAAAATCCCCTGACTGAGGGGAGATGCTGCCATCCTCCCAAGTGAATAACAGCACATGAGCTCCTTTGTGCCGTGAGGAGCAGCCAGTGGGGATGGATAGAACGAGCTCTAATTTTACACATGCTAGTCAAGGATTTCAGCATTAAAGGTTCCCACAGCAACAGTAACTTAGCCACATGTGAATTAACTTCAGAGCCATAATCCACTCTCAGGCATTCATAATATAAGATTTGCTATTGTGAAGAGTTGGGTCCAAAACCTGCCTCTGCTCCTCTGGTGCTGGAGAAATGGTGAAACACCTAAACCAAGACATGAGCACCTGGGAACGGAGGTGATGGTGCAAGGGGAAAGGGTTGTGATGCATGGGGAAGCTGCTGGGTGGACAAAAGTTGCCACCATTTCACCTTAAAATCAATGGCAATTCAGCCCTTGACTTCAAGGGTAACCAAATTCTGTCCAAGGAACATCATTAGGAGTTCAAGGCCAGGTTGGATGGGGCTTGAAGCAACCTGATCTAGTGAAAGGTGTCCCTGCCCATGACAGGGGTTGGAAACAGATGAGCTTTAAACTCCCTTCCAACCCAAATCAGTCTGGGATTCTATGATTCTGGCAGAGCCCTGCCTGTGGGGCCGCTGTGGGTGAGGAGCATGTTTGGGGCAATGATGATCACTTCCCTCTCCCCACACCCCATTCAAGCAGACCTGTGCTCTGACCAAGTACGGAAGAGGTAGCAAAGCCCGGATGACGCCTTGCTGTGCAGGAAGGCAACACCCAAGCCAGTTTCTTCCTGCCCCGGGTGTTTGCTGGCTTGGGGCACCCTGGCATCGTGACTGCCTCAGAGAACAGAGACCACAGTATCATTTCCCTATCACCCAGGCGCAGGGCCACTTCCTCCCCTGTAGTCCCAGGGCTGTGAGCTGGCAGCCCAGTGCCACAGCTCCAATGGCTCCTCTGCACCA